TTGAACATACAAAAATCAAGACGTGATGTTATAAACGATATAAATATTTGACATTTAAATCACTCGCGATCCCAGAATATTTCGCCACAGCCCCTTTTGGGGTCACGACCCATAGTTTTAAGAAGCCCTGGTCTATAGGAATAGCGATTTTATACAATTATTTCATAAATTCTCAAGAAACAATAATACATAGTAAGAGATAATAATACAAACTAGATGATCTGCATATAGGGGAGACTGGGTACGGTTGTGCCAGGGTACAGTAGTAACAGTCGTTACAACAGCTAAACTATACTAATTTTGAGATAATGATTCAAAGGGAGAAAGATGATGTATGTTTGTTCAACAAGTTTACATTATTGCATTGAGTCAGCGCCCTACACTAACGTGATCTGTAGACCGCATTGCAAAGAGTCAAAAATATTTTTTTTGTTAGATTCCTTTAATAACTATTACTTATATACATATACATCACTTTTTCTTATTTTGATGTAAGTTTAACATTAGTAGTTAATTTTCAGCAATTTTTCCGTAGATGCATAATTTAGTACATGCATAACGATAATTTGTTTTCAAAAGTGTACGTTGGGTACGATTGTGACATGTGATTTGGGTCTTGTTCTTTTCACGTGAAGATTAAACAAATAAAATTAACTAAGACAAAATAAAAGAATTTCTTATTAACTGTTCAAAAAAAAGTTATCTTATATTATGATCATTTGTTTAAATGATACATGTTTCTGACAATAAAAGTCGTTATAAACCATTTTGATGCTCATATCTATTTTTATGCCTGTCACAACCGTTCTAGGGGGTGTGGATGGTTGTGACACTCGCCCTTTTCTTATATGAATGATTTTGATCACATTTAAGGATAGTATTTCAGTATTTCCACGTAGATAAATGTTTAAATTGCCATTTAATTTACTTTTCTACCAGTTTAACTGGCAAGTTAAGCAAAGTATTACTGATCAAACAAAATGGTACAACCGTACCCAGTCTCCCTTTAGTTGTGATTTGGTTCATTATAAAGTATATCGTTTTACTATAATGTTGTATCAACTTACTGCATTTTTTTATTTATAAACCTACAATTTTAATTCAAGCTTTCAGTGTCTACAGGAACTCAGTTTTTTTTTGTATATGGTGTAAACTAACGCTGACTGATTTACATTTCAATATTATAATGCAAACTTTGATTGAAAATGTCTGCAAGTGATCGAGATTCAACTTTTTATTTTTTAACCTATGACATCGTTTTTAAGGTATTCCTGTCTCGCTGTGACGATGGTCAATAAAATAAAATCGAACTTTTCTCATTGACATTGCAGAATTTGCCATTCCGTTACAATGAATTATTCAATATTATTTATTAATCAAATTGATTGTATTAATCTTTGCACTTATTGTTTATAATTTCATAACTGTTTTCGCGTGTTCTATGACGTTGAGATTTGATTATGTGAAGTATTTAAATGTGGTGATAAGGTTCTTTAAAATCATATGTGTTAAATGCATTCGCAAAATAATAATTGAATCTTGCATTATTAAATTAGTTATTAGTTCATAGCATTTGTTTGTACAGAACAATAGTTGATTTACATCGATTGTACATACCAGTATTTAGTTCTTAATTTTTATTTATATATTAGAAAATATAATAAAAATATACGTTTTGTTCTAAAATTCTGTGCTAAATCCTTGACTTGAATTCACAGTACATGAATGCATTTCAATATTGGATAAGAGTCTAAAAAAGGTTTTTTTAGCTTTCTAGCTAAGCTTCTTAAACATCTACCTTAGAATAGTTAATATTCAAGATAAGCATTTCTCAATTTTTTAATATCAGCATCGAAAATAAAAGAAATTGCTACATTGTAGTGGCGCTCTATATTACAAGCGCCAATAAGAATAGTTGAACAAATATGTACAAATAATTTTTAGAATTTGCATTTTCAAATGAGTGATATTCAAAAATTGATTTATAGATACTATGTCTATTATACAGTAATGTTTCATGTAATAATAAATTTGTGTTTAGAACCACTTAGAACTCTTTCACTAGAAGTTCTCTATAATCAAACGCGTGTATTTTTAATTGGTTATCAATTTTAGTATTGATCACTAATCTTTTGTACTATTACAAAAGACAAATATATAATAGGATAAAATGTTGACATAAAAAGCGACTTTAATACGAACATTTTAAACAAGCTATCTAATTAAATGTATAATTTCGTTTATGTATTACTGTTACCTCATATCAAAAGTCTGAGATTTTTGAGGTAATTTTTTAATTCAAATTTATTTTCCTACCGGTTTATACAAAAACAATAAGAGGAGATTGCTCATAAAATATATGAAAGATATAATGCTTATCAGAATTTAGTAGATTGACCCAACGACGTATCCTCTAAAAATCTATTGTTAGAAGTAATTAAATAATTATTTCTGGTTTCATTTTTCATTGCTATTTATTTATTCAATTTATGCGCAAATGAAAATGTTTCTTCTTCATATTCGTATTAAAATAATTAACGAATATTGTGTAGTCTTTCAATCTCGATCTTTTCATTTGACTCATATATATATTATATATATATATATATATATATATATATATATATATATATATATATATATATATATAAGTATTTAACATTTATCGGCGACAGACTTAATAAAAACAAATAAAAATAAAAATTATGATCATACTTCAACGTAAATTTTTTAAGTATATAAATTTGACGTATCAGATTATTTGTTTTGGGATTAGGTTTTTTATATTTTTTTAAATTTTTTTTATAAATTTTAAAATTACCATCACAGGTAAAAATCCCACTAGAGAGAATAGCTTCGAAATGGACGAGTCGCCCCTCACAAAATCACAGGAGTTTGATAAAATTGATGTGACTGAAACGGTAAGTTAAAAATTGACATACTTATGCTTATTTATCTATGCATACTTTGTTTTTCGTGGCCAACTGCGCCAGAAAAGAAAGCTTTTCCCGATTAATTTGAATATTAACACTTTGGTGTCCCACAATGTTAATCAAAATCTATCTCATGTCGCCGGCTTTAATTTCGTAATTTGATGTGGAAGAATTCCATTTTTTGTGTGATTAGCAGTACAACAATC